CGGCCCGGGAGCGCAACCTGGCGCCCGGCTCCATCCGTGGCCCTTTAAATGCGTTTTCCCCAGAGGTCGCTTTCTTTTGCGCGGTGGGACCGAGCATTCCACCGGACTCTTCCTTGCGCCAGGCGATCCCTAGCGTGGCTCCCAAGGTTTTACATCCTTCTTTCGCAAACCCTTTCCCTTTGGACAATCTTCCCCTGGAGAGGAGCTAGGGTGTTGGGGCGGCAGTCTTTCAAGGCTCTATTCCCCCCCACCCGGAGGGCGACCTTTCTCGTAACCACGGGCGACGGGAAGTCCGGGTAGCAGGTAGGAATTTCCTGAAGAACGGCCGGAAACCCGCACCTAGCCAGCCGGGCCCAGCCGCGAAGGGCGTGGTGCCAGGCGCAGGGATGGATGGCAGTGGGTCCTGCTGCCCCGGAGCGCAAATCGGGCAACCTTTTAATTCAAACCATGTAACCGTCATCTCCTAAACCTCCAAGCTCAGGTTTATGGGTTCAGAGTATTCCTCCCCAACCTTTAAAGAAAAGCCCAGCCCCCCTGACTGCCACCCTGCTTCCCCCACCAGGCTGTTTCAAATGGGGAGGTGCAGGAAAGATATCCAGAAAGTAATGGAATCGCGTGGCTCCTACCCTTGCCTTTACTTCCCACGGGGCGCAGCCACCACCAGCCGGCCAGGGGCACTTCACCGGTCTAGATGCCCAGGGGGGCGGGGTAGGGGCGGGAGGGGGGGGGGAGATGGAGGCTGGGTAGCCCTTCCAGGCCAGCCTGCTGGGCTGTGGCTTCTGAAATGCACCAAGACAGGGAGGCTCTTGGTGGGGGCTGTCCCCAGCAGGCTGCTCACCAGCGCCTCCCCTGCTCCTGTGCCAGGGCCCGACAGAATGGCGGGAAGGTGCGGCACAAGAGGCAAGCCCTGCAAGACATGGCAAGGCCCCTCAAGCAGTGGCTTTACAAGCATCGTGACAACCCATACCCCACCAAGACGGAAAAGATTCTCCTGGCCCTTGGATCACAGATGACGCTCGTTCAGGTAAGCAGCTCCCATCAACACCCCCAGCTATTCTCTTAGCACGAAGCAAGTGTGCTGTTGGTTCTCCGCAGGGCGGGGCAGCCAGCGGGGAGAGCACTTCTCCCAGGGAAAGGCTGGAGGTGCAGGGGGTCGGACAGAGGCAGACCCTGATGCTCTGGGGGTGAATTCCTGCTGCTGGGGACAAGGAGGGGTTGGTGCACGTGCAGGCTTGTTCTGTTTGGGAAAACGAACCCGTTTTCTCATCCCTATCAGGACTCTCGGAGGGCTCTCCTTTGAGGCTGTTAGGGAGAGGGCCCACTGCAGAGTTACGACAAGGCAGCCGGGGGCTCACCAGCCAGATGTGTACAGACGTACTCCGCCGTGGTTGGGGGGCTTTGGGTGTGCACCAGAATCGCTGGAGAGCTTGTTAAAACTCACACTGCTGGACCCCATCGCAGAGTTTTTGATTCCTTAGGTCTGGGGTGAGGCCCATTATTGACATTTCTAACAGGTTCCCAGGTGATGCTGAAGTTGCTGATCTTGTGGTGGTACAAGAGACTCTTCCATAATGGGCCTGTAATAAAGCTGGAGCCCAATTTTCAAACATGCTATTATGGTCAGAGCTAAATGGCTGAAAGAGGAAGAAGTGAGTTTCTTAAAAAAATTTTTTTTAACTTTTTAAATAGGAGGGAGGCATTGTAGAACTTTTCGCTGATGTATAAAAACAGTTGCTCCATAAATTATCCCAATCAGAAAAACTTTACTCAGGAAAATAAATGCTTGTGCTAAAACTTCCGTTCAAACAGGTGGGCTCTTTGTTTGTTTGTTTGTTGTTGTTTTTAATCATTTTATTAGGGGCTCATACAACTCTTATCACAATCCATACATCAATTGTGTAAAGCACATTTTTACATTCATTGCCCTCATCTTTCTCTTCACTTAAGCCCCCGGCATTAGGTCCTCATTTTTCCCCTCCCTCCTCACTCCCCCCTCCCTCATGAGCCCTTGATAATTTATAAATTATTATTGTGTCATATCTTGCCCTGTCCGAAGTCTCCCTTCACCCACTTTTCGGTTGTCCGTCCCCCAGGGAGGAGGTCACATATAGTTCCTTGTAATCGGTTCCCTCTTTCCACCCCACTCTCCCTCTACCCTCCCAGTATCGCCACTCACCCCACTGGTCCTGAAGGGATCATCCGCCCTGGATTCCCTGGATTTCCAGTGCCTATCTGCACCAGTGTACATCCTCTGGTCTAGCCAGACTTGCAAGGTAGAATTTGTATCATGATAGTGGGGGCGGGGAGGAAGCATTTAGGAACTAGAGGAAAGTTGTATTTTGCTACATCGAACCCTGACTGGCTCGTCTCCTCCCCGAGACCCTTCTGCAAGGGGATCTCCATTGGCCTACTAAGGGGCTTTGGGTCTCCACTCTGCACTCCCCCCATCATTCACTATGGTAAGATTTTTTGTTCTGATGATGCCTTATACCTGATCCCTTCGACACCTGGTGATCATATAGGCTGGTGTGCTTCTTCCATGTGGGCTTTGGGGCTCATTGTTTTTAAAATCCTCTAATGATAGAGCTGTTTGTATAGTTCACAATGACGTCAACAATAAAATATTCTGTTATCTTGGTCGATTACATAGCTCTGTATTTAAAGCTAGGCATTTTTTCATACCAAAGCTGAATCCATTGCCATAGAGTGGATTCCGAGTCCTAGATGCTATGGGACATGGTGAAACTGTCCAGGGCTTTTCCAAGCCTGGAATCTTTACACAAGAAGAGAGGGTAGCACTTCCCTTCCACAGAGTGGCTGGTGGGTTCAAACTGCCGACCTATGGGGAAGAAGCCAAACACTAACTACTGTGTTTGGAACTTTTTAAAATTTTTTGAACTTTTAAAATTATGAAAAGTAACATTATTTGCAGAGACTTTTACATTTCTTACTTAACAGTTTTGTTGTGCTGCAATACAAGTAATTGTAATTTTGATATGGACCAAGATTATTTGGCCCCTCTACATAGAGTCCAAATGCATATAAAATATTTGTTTTGGGCATTTAGATTTTGGTAAGGCTATTTTTCTAATTTCTTTTGAATTCAAAATATTTTATTTCTCTGACACTAGTTCTCAGAAAATAAAAATATATAAAAGATGTATTTGTAAATGGTGCAAAGATAATTATAATAAGAAGCAATACCTATATAATGATTTGCAAATCTTACCATCATGGAATTGGTTATTAACTAGTGGTTAGAGAGGAAAAACTCCATGTATAGCTGAGGGTGTGTGTGTGTGTGTGTGTATGTGAATAGTGAGTGTCTGGAACCCACAAGTGCAGTTCTAGTCTATCCTGTAGGTTTGCCGTGAGTCGTATTTGACTACATGGCAGTGAGTTTGGGTCATATACATACACACACACACACCCATATATACGTATTGTCGTTCGGCACTGCTGTGTTGATTCAGAATCATATGGACCGTACGTATAACAGAACAAAATATACCTCATGATGGTTGCTATATTTGATCCCATTGTTGCAGCCACAGTGTCAATCCATCTTGTTAAGAGATGTGTACATAGACTCAATTGCCCCAAACAACAACAGCATGTATATACATGTATATGTATATATACACAGATTTTTCTAAAGCACATGAAAAAAATCCTTTATCTTTCAATTCCATTTTTCCCATGAACTTTAAAGTCTTCTCATGTATGTGTGTGTGTGTGTGTGTGTGTGTGTGTAAATGGTACCCTTTTATTATACTTATTCAATCTGTATGCCGAGAAAATCATCCGAGAAGCTGGACTAGATGAAGAAGAGCTCGGGGTTGGAGGAAGACCTTGTGGTGCAGGCGACGGCGCTTACTTGCGGAAGGCAGAGGTCTTGAAGGGCTTCCTGATGAGAGTCACAACTCAAGCCTTCGATGCGGACTACACCTCAAGTCCAGGTTGGAGAGGTAGCCCACCCCCGGGGGGACGGCTAACAGAAATGGACAGCATAAGACACTAAATGAAACCAAGAACATAGAATTGATCAAGAATTCACGAGGGCGGGAGGCTGGCATGGGAGGGGGCGGGGAAGAGGAGCTGATACCAAAGGCTCAGGTAGAAACTGTTTGGGAAATGCTGATGGCACCATATGTACAAGCGTGCTTAGTACAACAGAATGATGAATTGTCATAAGAAGAAAGAATTGCCCAGCTGGATCAGCAAGCAGCATCTGATCAGTGGAGAAAGCGCATCGATGTTGTTAAAGAGCGCATTTACTTGGATCTGCAATCAATGCCCCCGGACGCCGCAGTCCGGAAACCAAACAGCACACCGCACCGGGGGAAATCTACAACAGAAAAACTTCTTCAAATTGTTAAAAATCAAAAAGGTCACTTTGAAGACTAAGTGATTTTGCCTGACTCAACCTGTGGCATTTTCAATCACTTCACCTGCGGGAGAGAGCCAGTCTGTGAATAAGAAAGTCCAAAGGAGCGTTGATCCATTTAAGTTACAGTGCTGGCAGAGAGCATTGAATGTACAGGGACTGCGAGCCGAGCCATCAGAAGTACAGCCAGAATGTCCCTTAGAAGAGAACATGGTGAGACGTCATCTCACATGAACTTTGGATTTACCAAGAGCAGTGGTTCTCAGCCTTTCTCACGTGGTGGGGACCCCCAACCATAGCATTATTTTCATTGCTACCCCATCACTGTAATTTTGCTACTGTTAAGAATCGTCATGTAAATATCTGATATGCAGGATATTTACATATCAGATGTAAATCAGTTGAAAATACATGCAGGATGTATTTTCATTGTTACAAATCAAACATAATTATAAAGCATTGTGATGAATCACAAAACAATATGTAATTCTATATTGTGAAATATTTATTTCTAATGACAAATCAATGAAATTTTGTCTTGAAGCATTGTGTAGCATGGGTAAGAGTCTTCATGACCGGTACTCCTATGTGGGTATATCTCCATGTGGGTGGACCTGCCTGGAGACAGAGAGAGGAGCCGTATCTCGGTTTCTAAGACCATCGCAAACAGGTGTTTTCTGATGGTCTTAGGCGACTCCTGTGGAAGGGTTCGGTCGACCCCCAAAGGGATCACGACCCACAGGTTGAGAACTGCTGACCTAGAGGGTCTAGGCTCTGGAGAAGGCCATCCTGCTTGGTAGAGGGTCAATAAAAAGAGGAAGACCCTCAACAAGATGGATTGATGTAGTGGCTGCCACAGTGGGTGCCTATATAGCAAGGACTGTGAGGTGACGGGACCACGATTGATGACAACAACCAGACATGTGTTAGACACCCAAAACAAATTCTGACTCTGTGGAAAACCAAATAATTATATAAATACTTTCATTTCTAGAGGGCAGGGTGGGGACGACGATGGCAAGAAACGATGATCTGAATAAAGCTTTTGATCCCCATAAATTAGACCCTGTATTTCAAGAGGCAGCAGGCCATGGGGGTATAATGGACTCCACATGGGCTGTCACCAGCAAGGTGGGTCTTTCAAACCCCCTACCACTCTATGGGAGACAAACGTGGCTTTCTTAGAACCCATAGGAGCAGTTCTACTCCGTCCGCCAGGGTCACAGTGAGGCAGAATGGACTCGTGGCAGTGAGATTGTTGGTGGCGGTGGTTGTTTTTGTTTGTTTTAAAAAGATTCGCCTGTGAATAAATTATTTGAGGGGAGTGATCAAGTCTGGTTCATCTCCATACCTCCGTATCAAGCTGGTACAGTGATTTCTAGAAAACAAAGAGTACGTCCTTGTAGAGTAATTTCCATGGGGAAAATAGCATTATAAACGTCATGGGTCTCTCCATCAGTTTCTTCTGATAATTTGAGTATGTCTTGAAATTTGACCACAGAGAAATAGTTCATTATCTCTATGATGGTTTTGTGGAACATTTGTACAAATATAACTCATTTTATTTTGAAAATCTCTGAAAGTTGTATTGTATGCCTATGGGCGAATAGTGTTCCCTTCATTTCTGGCTCTAAATC